TTCCAATGCGGCTGCCGGCAGCACCTCGTCAACCTGCCGGCGCAGTGGTCGTGTGGCGATCCGATATCCGATGCGCCCGTTTAGCCGCAGTGTTCGGACCGCCGCCGGCAGGATTGGAATGGAAGCCATATGGCCGTCTAAGTGTGTACCCGCCAGCCTGCCGGCTTGGCTGTACTGTGTTCAGGGTGAAAGTGAGTCAACCGCCCGCTCTGGCTCGGCTCGGCTCGGCTCGGCTCACCCTTTCGCTCGGCTGGCTCGGCTGCGCCCGCGGCTCGACTCGGCAGACCAAAGACCGCAAGGACCGCGCCGAGGGCCGAGGGGCAGATGCACCTGTCACGGAGCAACGGGCGTAGCCATGGGCGCAGCGGGCCGGGTTACCCTTTGCGGCACGCCCCATCGGGCGTGGGGGCCCCCCCGCCCCGCCCCCCCCGCCCCGCCCCGCCCCGCCCCGCCCCGCCCCGCCCCGCCCCGCCGCGGTGCCGGGTTACACTAGCAGCCACGCCCCCCGCGTCGCCGCAAGTGCACTCACCCACCGGGGTCGGATTTAGCCCAGAGCCGCGCGGCCGGCGCTTGCAGTGGGGGTGCACGGCGACGCGGTGCAGCGGGTGCAGCGCGGTGCGTGGCAGTGTGGGCGCCGCACCGCGAAAGGGCGTCGTGATGAAGTGGCCGCTGTGCTGGCATGGCGTGTCGCGAGGTCGCTACACTGTGGACACACGACAGGACCGCCGTATCGCCGCGCGCCGCCCGGGGCACTTACGGCGTGGTGGGGCACCGCCGGCACCGGCAGGCACTAGTGTGCCATGGCCTCGATGTCGACTCAATCACATCGACCAGTCTGAATGACCCGGCCAGCCTGCTGCCGCGCTGACTGGTTCCGAGAGTCGTTTTTGTCGCTCTGTCGCTCTCGCACTCAAAGAACAACCCCGTAGGCGCGACAGAGACAGCGACGAAAACGACTCTCGGAATGAGTCTGCAGTGGCGGCCATCGGCGGCCATCGGCGTAGCAGCAGCCTTGGTGCCCATTCATTCCCGGAGTCCTGCGTGGCGGATGCTCGGCACGCGGCACGCCAGGGTACCGGTTCTCAATGAAGGCTGCGGACTGATTCCGAGAGTCGCTCTCGTCGCTCTGTCTCTCTCGCACCCATGAGGGGCGCCCCATGAGTGCGAGATAGACAGAGCGACGGAATCGGAATCGGTCTGCTGGCGAGCTCGTGACGTCGGCATCCTCGTTACCGCCGCGGCCGCCGCGAGACACACATGCGGGGCAGCGGTTTATGCCTCGCCCTTTTCGGGAGAGGAAGAGGAAGGGGGACTTTGGAGCACGGCCAGGCACGGGCGGCGGGAAGTTCAGGCGAGGTTGTAAAGGTGACCCAAAAGGGAGCGCGGTGCCGTGGCCCGGCTGGTACTTTGGGGGCACTGGATCGCTCGAGCAGCAGCGCGAGCGGCGCCCACGGCCGGGTGCGTCCTCTCTCTCCGTGAGTGCCGCTGACAGGTGTTGTGCCCCGCCGCCACGACGCCGTACCGCGCCTCGCCCCGCCCCGCCGCGCCCCGCCGCGTAGAATGCCCGCCAATGATAAATCGGTCCGCGTACTCCTATTTCCGTTGTGCCCGCCGTGCGTGTCTAGGGGCGTGGCGGGGCGGGGCGGGGCGGGGTAGCCAGGGCCGCGCGTTGGCAGCACTGGCCGCCTTGTCGCCGGTCCGCTCTGTCAACCCCAGAATTGGCAGCAGGGAGGTTGTGAAGAAGTCGTCACGAGGACGTGCCAGGCCGCCAGGCGTGCCACCTTTCCAGCCGGAAATTAGTGTCGCGGCGGGGACAGCAGACTCCGAGAGTCTGCCTCTCTCGCACTCACGGGGCGTTCCGTAGAGGTGCGAGAGTGGCAGAGCGACGAAAGCGACTCTCGGAATCAGCCTGCACAGCCGGAGCACAGCGAGCGAAGAGAAAAGAGAGGGGCTGCAAGTGCCGCCGCCACGGGGTGCATGTGCGAAAACTCGTCCGCGTCCGCTGTGTGCGGAAACTTGCAACTTCACCCGCAGGCCGTGGTCCAGGGCGGAGTGCGGCTCGCGGTGACAGCTGCCGAGCGATTCAGAAGAGTCGCTCTGTCTCTCTCGCACTCATGGCGCTCTCCGTGAGGGTGCGAGAGAGACAGAGCGACCGCTCGGCTGCCTCGACGCCCCCACCCCCGGGGCTCCGCTTTTAGAACGCGGTCCGGGTCCGTGTCGTCTGCACGTGCGTGGCGCGCGTATCTGGCGGCGGCAGCGGCGCCGCGGCCGCGAGGGTGGCGAGTTGCGTGGCTGTGGTCCGGCCCGCCCCGCCCCGCCCCGCCCCGCCTTCGCCACCTGATATGCGGGGGCCGCTGGGTGGCGGGGCGGGGCGGGGCGGGGCGTCGAGCCGAGGGCGGGCCGCACAGGGGTTCATTGTTCAGGGGATGAGGCATATTTTTAACCGCGCGCAGCTAGCGGCACCGCGGAGCCTAGACGCCGCCGCCGTCCCCCACCCACCCCGACAGTCCGACACGGTCCGACAGCCCGGCGCGAACCGGGAACCCCCGCGGAGAAGAGGAGAGCACCGCCGCCACCTTCACGTGACTCGCGTCTCGCGGGGAGGGACGAGAGAAGAGGGTCTTCGGGGAGCGGCGCGTCGAAATAGACCGGCCGGCGCCCGGCACGCGGTGGATGTGCCACGCTTGGCGCGCAATGCCGGGCAATGCCAGGACAGGCGCACCGTCCCCGTCGTGGACCCTCGGCTGGATCCACACTGCAAACCCTTGCCGTCGGGCTGCGCTATGCTCTGCCCATCCTCCGCGACGTGCTCGCCCCGTCTCCGAAAGGATGCTCGCCTGCAGACTGATGCAGAGAGTCGTTTTCGTCACTCTGTCTCCCTCTCACTCACAGGGCGTCCCGTAAAGGTGTGAGAGAGACGGAGCCACGAAAACGACCCTCTGAATCTGTCTGCGGCTTCGGCTTGCGCTTTGTGTAGCCTTGCGTGCTCTACTTACTGCCGCAGTGCTTTGATGGCATCGGCGCGGCTGGCTGGCTGCCTGCCTGCCTGCCTGCCTGCCTGCCTGCCTGGCTTTTGGCAAGTCTCCCCGCGCTTCATCTCCGTCTGAGAATAGACAAGTGTGACAAAGGGAAAGGGGTCGCAGGCAGTCGCAGGTGGGCGGCGTTGGCGGCGGCGGAGTCGCGGGTTCGAGCCCCAGCCGGTGCCGGAGAAAAACGGGGCGCGCGGGGGGCGAGGCGGAGGGCCCCGATGGCCAATTTAACTTTGCTTAAAGCCATCTTGATGCAGACGCGGCGCGGCGGCGCGGCGGCGCTGGGCGGGGCGGCTATTCTGGGCGGAGTTGACGGAAACGGCGGGGAAGGGCGAAGGGAGGGGGAAGGGCAGGGCGTCGGTCGGCTTGTCTCGCCTGCTTACGCGCGAGAACGGCCGCCGCCGAAGAAGAGCGGAAAAGAAGGCGCAAAATTTTGCAAGCTCGACTCGAAACCGGGCGTCGATTTTAGCCGGCCTGCCCTGGTCTAGCACTGCCAGCACCGCCGAGGGGGTTGGCGTGCCGTTACGTAAAAGGGTCTCAAGCGCTGCTGGCCGTTCGCCCTCCATTTTCCAAGTCGCACCGACTACTCTGTATGGGGTGTGCACGGCCTCCTCCGCTACTTTGCGCCCTTGCTCGCGCACCGGCGGCACGGCCGTGCGCGTGGGTTTCCATCCCGGCCAAATGAGGTTTTCCTTCCGCCACGCCGACCCCGTCCACTTGGGGCACGGCCTTCACGCCCTCCTGACGGCGCGCCCCCCGAGGACCCGCCCCGCCCCGCGCCGCCACCACGCCGCCGGCCGGTACCGGGGGTGGGTCGGTGGGTCGCGTTGCGTGGTTCGTGTCGAGGCGCGCGGATCAAGGGAGGGCGAGGCCTATTCTAAAAGCGACCTCCCTCGGTGGGGCCGACCAGGCCCGACGGGGAGGACGGGCAGGCAGGCCGACGTGCCCCTGGGCGTTATACAACCCGCCGCACGCGACGCGCCCCACAGCCCCTCGGCCCCCACGGCCCCATGCAATAATGACAACGAGGCCGGATTACTCGTCATCGCCGTGGCCACGCGGCCCACCACGCGGCCCGCCACGCGGCCCACCACGCGGCCCACCATGCCCAGGGCCTGGGCGCTGTGACCGCTATGCGACTATGTAATGCGCACGCGGCACAGTGGGCCAGAGGCGGCCAAAACTCTGGACGCGTTTTGAGCTCCAGAGTCGCTATAGGCAGTGTGGTCGCGGTCTGAGGCAAATGGATGGAATTTCTCCTCCGCAACGGTCGGTCGTCCTTCCTCCCTGCCGCGCGGTGAGGCAAGCGGCAAACCTAAGCCGCCACCTTTTGACGCGACTCCAATTGGCGGGCCGAGACAAGGGCCGGTGGGGGGGAGGGGTCTAGGAAGGACTGGCACGCCGGGGCCGGGGCCGGGGCACCGCGGGCCACGGGGCACAGGTGTCGCAGAGAGGGCGGCGGCGCGTTGAACCCGGCGGTGTCCTCGAAAAAGGCAGCCCCCCAGCCCCCTAGGGGTGGCCCGCGGCCGAGCCCGGGGCCCCCCGTGTATCCGGATACCGGGCAGGACGATGAACGTTGCCTTTTCACCCCCCCTCTCTCTGCCGAGCCGTTCCGATGCCGAGCGAGCCCTGCGCGAGGCTTCAGCCTGGGGTAGGCCGTTCCGTTACACAAGCGGCCACCGCGGTACAGCCTACCTCCCAGGCGCTCCCCAACTTATTACTACTGCTATTGCCATTGCTATTGCTATTGCTATTGCCATAGCTATTGGTATTGCCATAGCTATTGCCATTGCTATTGATGTCTGGACCACAAATAATCGCCTCTGAGGCCCGACAGGCCACGCCGCTGGCACACCAAACGTGATGAATCGTCCGTTCCCATTTAGAGGGACGGTTTATCTCGGCTGCTCCCCGTTGTTTCGCGACTCATCATGTTTGCTGACTCCCCCCAAACGGCTTGCTTGGTTGCAGGAGTCGTTCTTCCAGTGGCTGTGCGGCGTGCAGGAGCAGGGCTGCCTGGTGGCGCTGCGGGTGCGCGACGGCCGCTGCGTCGTGTTCGTCCCCCGGCTGCCCTCCGAGTACGCCGTGTGGATGGGCCGCCTGCGCGCGCCCGACGAGTTCAAGGCCAAGTACGCCGTGGAGCAGGTCAACTACGTGGACGAGGTGAGTGCGAGGCGACGGGGAGGGGCTCGCTCGAGGGGGTATCAACGAGGTGCTTTCATTTTTTTTCAATAATTTTTGAGGTCTATTTCGAATGCCACAACTCTCCCGCCCCTGCTACAAATCCCAAAGCGTACAATCATTGATAAATTCGCAATTTTATATTAGTTTAAAAAATTTAAATTTTGATTATTTTTTTTTCCTTGCGTGCGTACTATGATTTTTCCCAGTGAGCCGGAGGGGCCCTTTCGGGGGTAACTTTGGCAAGCGGCGCGGAGTAGGCCCCTAGTCCAGGCCCTAAATGTTGCGGCCGTGGCGGGGCTGGGGGAAGGGGTTGAGGGTGTAGGGGTGGGCGTTCGGCCTTGACGCCATCTCAGCAGAAAGGGAAGGCGCACCGAGCGGGGCGGGGCGGGGCGGGGCGGGGCGGGGCGTTGGTTCTATTTGAGCGCCCTCGACCTTGCCTGCCGCACGGCACTCTCCCCTACCGGACCCGCTGTATAAATCAGCAATTCCCACAGACACACACAAACACACACACCTACACACACAGACACAAACGCACAGACCGAAGCCCGGCCGGCAGATGTATACAGCGGGGCCCGGCGGGCTCCCTTCCCCAAACAGTGGTGTAAATCGGGCGGCCCGTTGATTTGATGCGACGAGTGTGTGTGTGTGTGTGAGTGTGTGGGCGGGGTATCGCTCGCAGGCGAAGCAAGGCGGGGCACAGCCTGGCATAGCCCGGCGAAGCCAAGGACGCGCGGGGTTGCGCGCGTGTAGCTAGCCTCTTCCCGCTCCGCCGCTCGGCATCATCATCATCATCATCTTCTTGATGGTGGTGGTGGTGGTGGTGGTCGGCGCGTGGAATCGCTCGATCGTGCAGAGCGCCTGGAGGGTAGGCCGTACCGTTGGGCTCGGCAGTGTAGCGGCGCCGCGCCAGGCGTTTTTTCCTCAGCCCTCGAGCACCCTGGACATCTGTCTGTCTGTGTTGTCTGTCTCTTTCTGTCTGTCTCTTTCCTGTCTGTCTGTCTGTCTCTTTCTGTCAGTTGGTCCGGAGGAGCTCCGTATCGTACCCCTGCGTCGGTTAACCCGTGCCTGGCGGGGCCGCTTGCCCGCTCGGCCACTTCCTGCGGGGCGGGGCGACAGGGGGTTGAAATGAATCGTAATGATCCTCCTGATGGTCGTCTCGTCGTCGACCTGGGCGGGCCTGGCGGCCTGGCCTGACGGCCGGGGGCGTCGCCTCATGTTTAAGTGATGCAGGGCCGGACGGCATTGATCCGGCTGAACAGTTCTGGAGCCGCGCGGGAAGTGAAGTGTGTCCTCTCTCTCTCCTCCCACCCCCCCTCTCTCTCTCTCGCTCTCTCTCTCCCGCATTCCCGCACTCGGACACGTGCCACGCCGCTAGTCTGCGCGGCCCGGCGTCGTAGTGCGCAAAAGCCTTGCCAAGAAAAAGAGACGTAAAAAAAAACTGCAAAGACCTCGTGGAAAAAATGTGTCGTCCACCTGGTCTGGTCGCGCGTGCTTGGTGTGCGCGGGTGTAGACACACACACACACGCGCGGACACAGCCACACCCACGCCCTCACACTGACACACTGCGAGCACGCGTGGCGTGTGGCGTGGTGTGCTGTAGCGGAAAAGTTGGGGAGCAACGGCGCAGCTGACTGATTCCGAGAGTCGTTTTCGTCGCTCTGTCTCTCTCTCGCACCTGTACGGGACGCCCCATAGGTGCGAGAGAGACTGAGCGACCAAAACGACTCTCGGAATCAGTCTGCAGTGGCTCCCGCCGCGTATTACATACCGCAGCCCACGACCGTTTGGCAACTTGCTGGTGATTTGACTATCTGGGGGGGCGCCTCGGTCACGGTGGCGTGGTGGGCCACTGGTGGGCCACTGGTGGCGTGGTCGGGCGGCACTGCGTACCCGTCGGGCCGTCACCCGCCGCAATCAAAATGTGGCCGCGATACGATACGACCGGATGCCGCCGGCCGCTTGAGAGTCAGACTCGTTTTCGTTTCTTTTTTGCGCTCGGTTCCGTATATTTGAAAAGGACAAAGTTGACTTTGGTTAGTCGTAGTCGCGCCACTGTACTGTTCGGCTGTTTCTGCAGCAGACTGATTCCGAGAATCGGTTTCGTCGCTCTGTCTCTCTCGCACCCATGGGGCGTCCCGTACAGGTGCGAGAGAGACAGAGCGACGAGAACGACTTTTGGAATCGGTGGGGTGTTTCGACGCGCGGCGCGCACGTCGCCACTGTTTACCCGGCTAAGTGGAGCGGGGCTGCGTCGGCGTGTCGCCGGCGTGTCGTCGGCAGCCTCTGACGGACAGGGCCTCCCCCTGGGGGGCCTCCCCCTGGGCCCCGCGGCCCCGGCCGGCCGGATGACCGGACACCACCGGGACTGGCGCCAGTGCGGGCCCGCATAGCAAAACGCAAACTGTAGTACAAATTGGAAAATTCTTATTCAATTTGGGCCCGTGTACCAGAGAACCTGTACAAATCGGAAAATTCCCTTGGGAATTCTTTCGTGTCACTGTTTGGTTAATTTACGATCGTTTCTTGCGCCACCACGGAACGCTCTGTGAGTGAGAGAGACGAAACGCCTCTCGGAATGAGACGGCTGCCAGTGCAGTGGCATGGCCGGCCGGGAAGTGGGTCGTAGGGCCGCACCTGTTGGTATTTGGACGGGGGTCTGATTCCACCAAGCGTCGCTCTGTCTCTCTCGCACTCATGGGGCGTCCCGTAGGGGTGCGAGAGAGACAGAGCGACGAAGACACCGTTCGGAACGAGCCTGCAGGCAGGGCCAAGGCAGGGCCGCGCGATGCGAGGTACCGACTAGCGGCGTGATCGCGACCTGCTGCTGTGGCCTAGTTCCTAGTTCCTGCCGCTGCATGGCTCTGCCGCTCTGCCGCTCTGCCTCGCTGTGCCGCCGACCTCGCTGGCCGAAGCGTCGAAGCTTTGTTTACGGGCCGCTGGCTGGCTGGCTGGCTTGCTGGCTCACTGCTAGCGCCGCCGGCCGAGCCGTTGGAGCGGCAATCCCGTTCACCTGCCCCCTTTTTTCTGCGCTAGTGTTTATTTTTCACGTCAGTCTTCTTTCGCAATCCCCCGTCGAGGACCCGCCTTCCGGCCTCTGGGTGTTCGCGATCGATGCTGGCTGAACCGGGACTGGGTTGACCCGCGAATAGCGGCCGTTGTCTTTGGCGAGTCTCCGAGAGCCTCCGCTCCGCAGCGCCTGTACCGAGTGAGCGGAGCCACGCCCTGCACGTCAGGCTCGCCGTCAGGCCGTCACATGGTCGACCCCGTCCGTCAGCTGACACGGCCTCGTGACGAGACGGGGGCGTCGCGGCGGCCGTCACGGCCTGGCGTCGGCGGGGCGTCGTCGGCCGGAAGGCACGGCCGCGAGGCACGCCGTGATGCAACGCCAAGGATGCCGTCGACGCGCCGCGCCGATAGGCCGCGCCCCCGATGGCGCCTCGCCGTCGTCGTCGTCTTCCTCGACTCTCGGCGGCGGCCGCGGCGGCCCGGTTCTGGTGCGCACTTCGCGGCCGCGGTGCGACAGTGCGACGCGCCCAATACATAAAGTGCACTAGCTGCTCGCTGCGCTGCCGGCGATGGCGGCCGATAGCGCACTCTGGCCGTGAGTCTGAGTCCGTGAGGACGCCGTTAATCACGTCCCGGACGGCCCCACGTGACGCTGTCTCTGTCACGCGGCCGCCGCGTGACGGCCGTCGCGCAACGCCCGCCGCCCTGCTGCTGGTCGTGCTGATCGTGCTGCTCCTCGTCGGTGTAACCAACACGCGCCACGCCCGCCCCCCGCTGGTGCCGCCCCTGAAAAATCAATCGTCGCCCCCGGGGCCTCAAGGTCGTCCCGCCCGGCAGGAGGGGGAGGCGGGAGGCACGCACACGCAGTGCGTGGCAGCGCGGGGTGGAGGCTGCCTGGGGCTGCACACTGTTCTCGAGCAGAGCGTTGGCCACTCTGTCTCCCCCGCACTCGGGGGTCGTTCCGTAGGAGTGCGAGGGAGACAGAGCGACGAAGCAGTCTGCTGCGGCGATGCCTGCAAGGTGGGGGCACGGCGACGGGGGTCTTGGCGACGGCGGCGCCGCTAGCCCCGACGACGTCGACGACGACCCCACTGACTTTCCACTTCCCGTCTAGGGCAGGCCGGCCGGCCGGGCAGCCGCCGCCGTCCTGGAGAGAAAGTCCAAGTCTGCATGTTGCCGGCGGCATGCCGCACGTCCCCACTCCAGGCCCACTCCAGTTCCAGCCGCCCCGATCCGCGTCCCAATTGTCGCCGGAATGAGGGAAATCCGGTGGAAATTGACGCTGGCGGCGCGACGCGGCATCCGCGGGGCCTGCCCGGGCCTCTAGGCCTGCCGCGGATGCCCCCCCCCCTCTCGAGCCGCGCCATGGTCGAGAGAGCGGCGCGGCGGCCGCGGCTCGCCAGTGGGGGGCCGCGAGGTCTGCCAGTGCGTCTGTTTAGGTTGGCCCCGCGCGGCTCGCAGCCCTCGCAGTGGCTCGGCGGCTCCGCGGTGCTGCGCGGTTGGCGCCATGGTACAGCGAGGCTCGCGGGGCCCGGGGCCGGCCGTGCGTTTGTTGTGGGCCGCGGCAGCCGCGGCTCGAGCAGCCTAGGGAAGTGAAGCCGAGTAAAGCCCCTCCGAAGGGGCATAGGGCAGCCCGGCAGGCCGACGGCAGTGGGGCGAAGTGGAGCACGAGGCCTGGAGCCCAGGACGACGACGACGGTACAGTGTAGTCTGGCCGAGAGCAGCAATTAGCACACAGTGTTAAGCTTGCAAACTCCACCCGTTCGAAGCACCTGCCGCGAACTGTACACAGCCTTTGGAGATACCCGCGCGCGCTCCACCTATCTGAAACACGACCCAACAAGACTTGTGTGCACTTCGTAGCCAATCTTCAAAGCCTGTCTTTCTGCCAAAGCACGTCGTAGCCTCTGCGACGCCGGGACCGGGGCCGGGGCGCGCCGGTCGTGTGTGTACACTGTGGATTGTGTA